TACAAATCAACCCAAAAGAGCAGGGCCCGAAATAGCTTATGGCAGTGAGTCTACGAAATGGTAGAGACCTAGATCTGGAGCAAGAAATTGCTCGTGAAAACCGACCTACTGAAACATTTGTGCCAGTACCCATTGAGATAGATGATTCAACAGGTTTAACTGAAGTGATGGTACAACATGCACAAGAGAACGCCAGCAAAGAAAAAGAGGTTGCGAAAGAGACTAAGGCAGCAGAAGAAACGACAGTAGAAGCAATGCCTGAGCAAGACACAACTCAAATCACAGGGAAGAAGCTACCTCCAACACCATTCCCACAGAGATTGGCCAAGTATCAGAAAGATGAGCAGTATAAGAAATTCTTGGAGATGTTGAAGCAAATTCAGGTGAACATTCCATTGATTGACGCCTTAAAGGAGATGCATGGTTATGCAAAAATGATGAAGGACTTGATGTCTCGTAAGCTCGACATTCAAGACTTGGCCAAGGTTACACTGACTCAGACTTGCAGTGCTGTTGTGACGAGACCCATAGCTGAGAAGCTGTCTGACCCAAGGAGTTTCACAATTCCATGCACAATAGGCAACTATGCGTTTGCTAAGGCACTTTGTGATTTAGGGGCAAGCATAAACGTGATGCCCTTGGCTATCTACAAAAGGTTAGGAATTGGAAGAGCTAGACCCACATCCATGTTACTACAACTGGCTGACCTGACAGTGAAGAGGCCCTCTGGCATTCTTGATGATGTATTAGTACAGGATGGGAAATTTGTGTAACCAGAAGATTTTGTCATTCTTGACTGTCGGGTTGACGAGGAAATTCCCATAATTTTGGGAAGACCATTCTTAGCCACTGGGAGAGCTTTAATTGACTGTGAAACTGGAGATCTAAAATGAGATTAAATGATGAAGAGATAACATTCAACGTGCAGAAATCTATGCGGCGACCAAGTGAATTTGCTAACTGCCTCTAATAGATGCCGTGGATGTAATTTTGGAGAAGGAAGATGAGACATTGAACACTAAATACCCTCTAGCAGTCTGTCTCATGAACTTAGATGAAGCAAATGGAGAGGACTTGGCGGAGTGGGTTCTTGCTCTTGAAGGTCAAGGTTTTTGGAGAAGGGAGCTCGAATTTAAGCCTTTGCACTTAGAGGAAAGGAAAACTCCTCCAGCTAAGCCATCGATAGAAGAGCCGCCAAAGTTGGAACTGAAGCTACGACCACCTCATCTCAGGTATGCTTTCTTGGGACATAATTCAACTTTATCTGTTATTATCTCATCTAGTTTGTTAGATGTGCAGGCAGAACAACTTTTGTAGGTACTGATAGAGTGCAAGACTGCAATTGGTTGGACCATTGCAGATATTAAGGGTATCAGCCCGACATTTTGTATGCATAAGATTCTACTAGAAAATGGGCACAAACCTTCCAGAGAACATCAAAGAAGTCTGAACCCCAATATGAAAGAAGTGGTGAAGAAAGAAGTGATTAAGTCGTTAGGTGCGGGAATCATACTCCCCATCTCTGACAGTAACTGGGTCAGCCCAGTTCAGTGTGTGCCAAAAAAAAGCGGTATGACGGTAGTGAAAAATGAGAAGAACGAATTGATCTCAACACGAATAGTCACCGGTTGGCAAATCCGTATGGATTACAGAAAGTTGAACTTGGCTACCCAGAAAGACCATTTTCCACCGCTATTCATAGATCATATGCTAGATAGATTGGCAGGGAGGTCTCACTTTTTCTTTCTGGATGGGTACTCGGGGTATAATCAGATCTCTATTGCCCCGGAGGATAGAGAGAAAGCGTCGTTCACCTGCCCTTATGGTATCTATGCCTTTTGGAGAATGCCGTTTGGCCTATGCAACGCACCCGCCACATTCCAAAGGTGCATGATGGCCATCTTCACAGATATGGTAGAAGAAATAATGGAGGTTTTCATGGATGACTTCTCAGTGGTGGGGAACTCATTCGATGATTGCCTTATGAACTTGAGAAGAGTATTGAAGAGGTGTACCGAGACTAATCTGGTACTCAACTGGTAAAAGTGCCATTTCATGGTACATGAAGGTATAGTCTTGGGGCACCTAGTGTCGAGTAAAGGCATTGACGAGGACAATGTGTATAGGATTTTTCTGCTCGTGCTTAGTCAAATTCTAATATAGTTTATGATAACATCCCATAGAGATTGAAAAATCTATGCTACAAACTTGTAATATTTTAGATACTATTTGAGAGAACAAAATTGATGAAAAGAGTAGGATTTTGAATTTGTAAATTACTTAAACAAAAACAACTTGTGGAAAATTTATATTTAAAAAGTGTTGGGAATCATTGAATTCACTGGACGATATTTTTATAATGAAATATTAAGTTCTACATATATTTCATTAATGAATAATTGCTTATTGCTAATACAATTATGTTTTGCTCACCAGAAAGTAAACAATTAATAATACTCCTTGAGGTTATATTATTAACTGACTTACGACTAGTGACGATAAGACCGAAATATATGTCCTGCCTGAATTGTGCTAAGAAGTAGTAAAGACCTCTTGAGATTATCTTTACGAAGAAATCAATGATATTTCTTATAACAATTCCTCCGTGAGAATTAAAATTGAAGTAAGCAAAAATCAAGATTTGGAATGCTAGATTGTTGAGAATTACCCTCTATCTATTGATTCACACTAGCCAGTATGTATCGATTTTGCTTCGTGAGAATTACAAAATCAATATAAGTAACTTGAGAAATAAATAGATAGATGTGACTAATTAAAATCTAACATCCCAGCACAATACAGAAGTGGAGTTAGAAAATCTCAGGCCAAGTATGTAATAAAATTGAGAAAACTATTATACAATTATATCAAGCTTCATCAACTATCCCAACAAAAAGATACTACTCCATTATCGAGTATTTGAAAAAGAAAGGACTTCTATAATATGGCCTATATTGCCAACACTTCCAGGAAATCTGAAAGTTACAAGAAGTAATGAAAGAAGAACAAGAAAGATTAAGAGACCAAAGCTTTAGATAATAAAGTGGTTCTTTTGTTCCTTTTTTCCTTAATGCTTACTACACAGAGAATTGCCTTCTATTTATAGACGTGCATTTCTTCTTGAAATGTTGTGATCTCAAGTGAGGAAGTTGCATCTTGAGGAGAATATATCTTGAGGAAGATGTATCTCGAGGAAGATATGTCTTGAAGAAGATGCGCCGTGACCTTCTTACATTGTGGAGTGAATATGTTATGACTTTCTTGTATCTTTTATTTTCTTACTTTATTAATAACATTCTTATCTCCTGCAATACATTGTTAAAAAATATAGTTACGAAATATTATATAAATACTTTATTTAAAATAATATATTTGTAAGTATATAATATGTGAATATTTTATATTCATCAAACTCCCCCATACTTGAATCATTGCTCGTCCTCGAGGAGAATTATTTTATTAGTAATTATTATTTATTGTAGACTAGAAAAGAAAGAAAATAAAAATTCACATAATATTCAAAACCTATAAGTTTTTCAAGTTACCAAATCTTTACCTTGTTTCTACTTCTGCTTTTGTTTGACAAAAAAATCCATCTCCTCCTTTTGATGAATCTTTTGAGATTGATAACATTATGATCACAATCCTTGAGTTTCTCAAACTTTGTCCATAAGCTTGCCCTTCATGTCAGTCTCCAGTAATGTAGAATCAACATTGATTTTTAAAATCTTTTTTAGGACTTTTTCAGGCTTTTGTTGTTAGGCTTAGTGCGGGTAAGGGTAAATAAAATATTTATCGTGACTATGTTCCCTCCAGCTTTATAATGTGAGCCAGTTATTTTATCAAAGGAACTAGTACAACTTAATACAAAGAAGATAAACTCTAAAGATGTCTTCAGTTCCATGATTAACACCAATTAAGTCAATGTTCCTTTCAACAGAAACATTCTCCATAAGTTCGAACTTCTTACACCAAGAATTTGTTCCATAAGTGTATTCACATCATTTTGTTTATATNTATATATATATATATATATATATATATATATATATATATATATATATATATATATATATACGCAAATCCACCTTTCTCTTAACACAAACTTTTCTTCAAAAAGTATTCCTTCATCCCTTGCTTAAATAGCCATTTTTGCTCAATTATAGCTGGAAGAAATCTTCTTTCTTTGGTTAAACCAATATGGTGTATCAAGAAGAATTATTTTATCCTTTTTCTTTTTCCTTTTTTTTCATTTTTTTAATATGGATCAAAGTTTGGGTGCTAAAGGAAAATATCTGTGTGTGTGTGTGTAGGGGTAGAAACAGAGAGGCTAAAAAGTGATCAAAGAAAGCCTAATTTTATTTAAAACTCAACGTTGTCTATAATTTCGCCTTGATAGACATTTGGGGCAAGTTCTAGCAAAGCTTTATTGATTCTACCTATTGAGATCATAATGCTTCTCAATTCCAACTATTTCCCAAATTAGGAGATTCATTATTGCCTTCACAAAACACAAATACAAATTTGGAAGTTATGTGGCATAAATGAAAAAAATATATTTGAAACCATGCGAATAATTATTTGAAAACTTTAATATTATACAAGAACAACAATTAAGAATAAAATAAAAGATGAGTTTATTTGTGTTTACCATGGGTAAGTTTTATAACCAGCAGGCTAATGCCAAATACTAATAATTTTATTGTCTTGTTACCACTAATAATTTTTTATATGTACAATTTAAAAACATATAGAGGTAAAAAAATATTTTACTTGTAAAAGAAAATCTTTTTGGCTTTCAAATTTACAATCACAGAAGAAAGCTTGAAAGAAACTGTGTTCACACATACTCTATGTGTACTAGACTGACTAATTTAAGACCTTATCAGTCATTTGGTCTTGGTTTAAATATAAACCAAAAAGTTACCTGAGCCAATAATTAATTTGCACAATTAAATAGTTAACCAACCAGTCACTTAGGCATACCGATCACCATGGATTTACTCCTGTATAGGTGACTGTATTTTTGTAGAGGCCTTCATAAGATATTCTGGTTGTACAATAACCTGGATATTAACCAGATCAATTGGTTAAGCAATTTTATTATGCAAATTTATACAGGACTTATAAGGCTCCATTGCTTCACCCTCAATGGCTACGGGTAGGAAAATGTAGCTCTGAGTTTAATATCGCCAGCTCGACTTATTTTCTACATGATTCTTCATTCAATTAGAGTAACTGATGGTTGTTTCTCAAATTGTCCTCCAAAATATAATTTTAGTTTGTGACCATTTACTTTAAATTTGTCTCCACCACTAATCTGCTGAATCTCAATAGCACCATATGAAGTAACATTTGTAATATTATAAGGACCTGTCCGTCTGGATTTTAATTTTCCAGGAAATAGCCTAAGTCGGCTATTGTAAAGAAGTACCTTATCTCCAATTTTGAAACTCTTTTGTCGGATCAACTTGTCATGCCATATTTTTGTTTTTTCTTTGAAAATTCTGGCATTTTCATAGGCTTCCAACCTCAGCTCTTCTAATTCATTAACCTGAAAAAATCTATTTTTACCCGCAGAGGTCAAATCAAAGTTTAGCACTTTCAATGCCCAACAAGCTTTGTGTTCTAATTCAACTGGCAAATGACAAGCTTTTCCAAAGACTAGTCTATATGGGGATGTTCCAATTGGCATTTTGACGCTGTTCGGTAAGCCCATAATGCATCATCTAATTTTAAAGACTAGTCTTTCCTAGAAATTCCAACCGTCTTCTCAAGAATTCTTTTTAACTCACGATTCGAAACTTCAACTTGTCCCTGAGATTGAGCATGATATGGTGTTCCTGTTTTATGAGTCACACCATATTTTGATAGCAAAGTAGAGAATTGCTTATTCATGAAATGAGTTCCTTAGTCACTAATGATGACTCGCGGTGAGCCAAATCTAGCAAAAATATTTTTTCTAAGAAAATTGCACACTGTACGAGCATCATTCTTTCTTGTGGGGATCGCTTCAACCCATCTTGACACATAATCCACAGCCACAAGAATATATTCAAAAGAGTGAGAAGAAGGAAATGGTTCCTTGAAATCTATTCCCCAAACATCTCACATACCTGTATCGATTGCAATGGCATTTCATCTCTTTTAGTGATGTTACCTGTTCTCTGACACCTATCACATTGTGCAACGTATGTTCGGGCATCTTTAAAGAGTGTCGGCCAGAAGAATCCAACTTCCAAAACCTTAAAAGCTGTTCGATTTGCTGCATAATGACCTCCAATTTCTCCATCATGGCAGTGATATAAAATTTTAGCCATCTCTTCTTTAGGTACACATCTTCTAATGATATTATCTGCACAAAATTTAAACAAGTAAGGTTCGTTCCACAGATAATACATATCATCAGATATAAGTTTTTTCCTTTGTGGGTATGAGAGATCTTGGGATGTCCACTTTCCAACCAAGTAGTTTGCAATATCTGCAAACCAGGGTGGTTGAGTCACTACTGAGTCGATTGAAAAAGTATGTTCATCAGTAAATTCTTCCTTTATCTCACTAAACTCAAGGGGAGGATTTCCTAATCTAGACAAATGATCAGCTACCTGATTCTCCGTCCCTTTTTTATCTTTCAACTCAAGATCAAATTCTTGCAGAAGTAAAATCCATCTTAACAATCTAGGTCTAGCATCTTTCTTTGCTAAGAGGTATTTCAAAGCTGCATGATAAGTGAAAACTGTGACCTTAGTTCCTATAAAATATGGACGAAATTTATCAAATGCAAATACTACTGCTAGTAACTCTTTCTCTGTTGTGGCATAATTAAGTTGAGCCTCATTCATTGTTCTACTATCATAGTAAATTGGACGAAAAATCTTATCCTTTCTCTGGCCTAAAACAGCTCCTAATGCTATATCACTAACATCACACATAACCTCAAAAGGTTGATTCCAGTCAGGGGACACAACTACAGGGGCAGTTGATAACTTTTTCTTAAGGGTCTCAAATGCAAGGCAATCACCTGAAAAATTAAACTTAGTATCTTTCATCAAGAGGTTAGTCAGCGGTTTTGAAATCTTGGAAAAATCTTTTATGAACCGTCTGTAAAAATCTGCATGACCTAGAAAACTTCTAATGCCTTTAATAGTTGTGGGAGGGGGTAATCCTGCTATTAGATCAATTTTAGCCTTATCAACTTCTATCCCTTTAGTAGTGATTTTATGTCCTAAAATAATTCCCTCAGTAACCATAAAATGATATTTTTCCCAAATAAGAATCAAGTTTGTCTCTTCACATCTCTTAAGAACTAAAGTCAAGTGATAAAGACAATCCTCAAATGATTTTCCAAAGAGTGTAAAATCATCCATAAAAATCTCGAGAAATTTCTCAGTCATGTCAGAGAAAATTGCTGACATGCAACGCTAAAATGTAGCAGGGGCATTGCACAAACCAAATGGCATTCTCATATAAGCATATGTTCCATGAGGACATGTGAAGGTTATCTTATCTAGATCTTCTAGTGCAATTAGTATCTGGTTATACCCTGAATACCCATCAAGAAAATAATAAAACCCATATCCTGCAATTCTTTCCAACATTTGATCAATAAATGGCAAAGGAAAATGATCTTTTCTAGTAACATCATTGAGACGTCTGTAATCAATACAGACTCTCCATCGTGTGACGGTCCTGGTAGGTATGAGTTCATTATTTTTATTTTTAATAATTGTCATACCTCCTTTCTTTGGCACTACCTGAACAGGACTTACCCAAGGACTATCTGAAATAGGATAAATGATACCTGCTGCCAAAAGTTTTACAATCTCCTTTTTTACCACTTCCTGCATTGCTGAATTCAATCTCTTTTGGGGTTGAACTATTGGCTTGTAACTATCCTCCATGAGGATTCTGTGAGTACAAACAGCTGGACTAATCCTTTTGATATCTGCTATAGTCTACCCTAAGGCTCCTTTGTGTGTTTTCAAGACTTCAATTAATCTTTCTTCTTGTTCTGCAGTCAAAGAAGATGAAATAATCACTGACATTGTTCTTTCTCAAGATAAGCATATTTTAAATGAGATGGGAGAGTTTTGAGTTCAATTTTTGGTTGAACTTCTTCTGGTTACATCTCCTGATCCTCAAAATCTTTTTCCAATATTTCAGCTTCTCTTCTGATGATGGGATCATCGTCTTGTATGGTGCCTGATTTGCCAAGCATCTTTCCATTGAGTCTGGAGTTAATTGATCATCTCTGAATTCATGTGCAAGATCACTAATCATGTCAATTGAAAAGCATGAATTTGATGATTCATCGCCTGAAAATCTTAGTATCTTTTGCATGTCAAAAATGACCCTTTCTTCATCAGCTCTTAGAATTAGCTGTCCTTGGTGCACATCTATAATTGCTCTACCTGTAGCAAGAAATGGTCTACCCAAAATAATTGGTTCATCAGGACATTCTTTCATTTCAAGTACTATAAAATCTACGGGAAAAACAAACTTATCTACTCTTACAAGCACATTTTCAATTATTCCCTTAGGTTTCTTAGTACCTTGATCTGCAAACTGAAGAGAAACACCTATGTCCTTCATTTCACCAAGATCCAATTTTCTAAAGATAGAAAGTGGCATCAAATTTATTGAAGCTCTAGAATCGCAGAGTACTTTTTCAAAATACAGTCCTCCCAAAGTGCATGTAATTGTAAAACTGCCAGGATCACCAAGTTTTTATGGTAGCTTATTTTGAAGTATAGCACTGTATTTTTCAGTAGCATTACTACATATATTTCTTCCAATTTCCTTTTACTTGACAAAATTTCTTTTAAAAATTTTGCATATGAAGGCACTTGCATCAAAGCATCAGTGAAAGGAATATTAATATGAATCTGTTTCAAGATTTCCAAAAACTTTGCAAATTCACCATCAAGCTTTTCTCTTTTCAATTGTTGTGGAAAAGGAATTGTCACAGGGAGAGCAATCATTTTTTCAATATTTTTCTCTTCTTTTTTCTTGACTTCTTTATCTTCTAATGGTTCAGAGGGTGTTTCATCATTCTTACCCTTGTTTACCTGTTGTTCTGACTGGTACTTTTCTTGTTTGACATTATTGGGTTCATCAAGCTCCTTACCTGATCGTAAGGTGATGGCCTTAAGGTGTTCCTTTGGGTTTTTCTCCGTATTACTTGGTATGGGGCCTTGAATTTTTTCTGACACAAGAGTTGCCAATTGGCTCAGCTGGATTTCCAAATTTGTAAGGGCTGAATTTTGGCTTTCCATTTTTTCATCAGTGACCTTAATGTATTTGTACAAAAGGTCATCAAGACTTGGATGTGTTTGCTGAGGCCGTTGCTGATATGGAGCTATTTGCTGATAAGGTCTGAAATTTGATTGCCCATGGTTTTGATTTTGGTAACCAGGTGGACCTTGTACCTGTGGCTTCTGGAAGCTCTGAGAATTCTCAGCACCATTTGGATTGCTCCATTGAAATCCTGGATGTTTATGTACCATTGGACTTCCAAAGGGGAACTGCTTGTAACCGATTGCATTGACCTGTTCATCATTTTGATAGATTGCTTGGCATTCATGATTCAGATGGTTTCTATCACACATATACAAGCCTCAGACTGACTTGATTGTTTTGTATTCACCTGAAAAGATTCAAATTTTTGTGCCAAAGAAACAATCTGTCGTGTTAGTGTGTTTAAAGCATCAACTTGATTTACCGTAGCGGCCTTTTTGATGATTACACGCTCAGATGGCCATTGAATGGCATTTTCAGAAATTTCATTCAATAACTGCAATGTTTCTTCTGTTGTTTTTCCCATCACAGAACCTCCTGCAGCTGCATCAATCACATTTCTAGAAGAGGGTTTTAACACGTGATAAAAAATATACAATTGCATGTGTTCAGGAATATCGTGGTGCGGGCATTTTCTTAACATTGCTTTTAATCTTTCCCAAGCTTGATAAACTAACTCAGTATCAGTCTGTAAGAAATTAGATATTTCTTGCCTTAACTTTGTTGTTTTAGCAGGAGAAAAATATTTATTCAAAAACTTCTGAGTCATTTGGTCCCATGTGGTAATTGACCCTTGAGGTAAACTTCGCAATCATGTTTTGGCATCTCCTTTTAAAAAAAAAGGAAATAGCCTTAACTTGATTGCTTCAGGAGGTACTCCATTATACTTAGCAGTTTCAACAAGTTCCAGAAAATCAATTAAATGACTGTGTGGATCTTCACTTGAATCTCCTGTAAAGATACAAGATTGCTAAATTGTTTGAATTAGGCCGGTCCTAATTTCAAAGTTGTTGGCTGCTACTGGGTTTTCTGACACTAGATTCACAGTTGAAGCGGTCAGGCCTAGCATAATCCCTTAGGATTCTGTTTGCTGGTCTTGGCGCTACTTTATCAAATTGATCTTCTAAATGGACTGGTGGTGGTACTTCGGGTGGATTGATATCTTCTACTCCCTGGTTTTCCATTCCTTCACAAGCTACGCTCTGACAAGATGATGTTTGTTCTTTCCTGCGCAATCGAAGAGATCTTTCAATTTCAGGATCGTAACGCGCCAACTCTTTTGTAGAAGAGCGGGTCATAAACTAAGTAAAATTCTTAAAGTAAAGAAAATTAAAGCTCCTTTTTTTTAATTCTTTTTAAAAGACGATTAACTTAATTCCTAAAATAATAGTAGCACTA